ACTGGAGTTGCCCCACAACCCAACAATGGGGCATAGTGTCCCCCCAAAGTCCAACAGTGGGGTTAACCCAGAACCCAACAGCATCACTCGGGGTTGACAGAAACCCAACAGTGGGGATTGGAGTCAGCTCAGTACACACCAGTGGGGCTCAGGGTTGCCACAAAATCCAGCAGTGGGGCTGAGGGTCATCCCAAAACTAGCAATGGGGCTCTGGGTTACCCTAAAACCCAACAATGGGGCTGAGGGTCATCCCAAAACCCAACAATGGGGCTCAGGGTTACCCTAAGACCCAACAATGGGGCTGAGGGTCATCCCAAAACCCAGCAGTGGGGCTCAGGGTCATCCTAGATCCCAACAATGGGGCTCAGGGTTACCCTAAAGCCCAGCAGTGGTGCTCAGGATCATCCCAAAACCCAGCAGTGGGGCTCAGGGTCATCCCAAAACCCAACAATGGGGCTGAGGGTCATCCCAAAATCCAGCAATGGGGCTCAGGGTTACCCTAACACCCAACAATGGGGTTCAGGGTCATCCCAAAACCCAGCAGTAGGGCTCAAGGTTACCCTAAAACCTAACAATGGGGCTAAGGGTCATCCTAGATCACAACAGTGGCGCTCAGGGTCGTCCCAAAACCCAGCAGTGGTGCTCAGGGTCTTCCCAAATCCCAGCTGTGGTGCTCAGGGTTACCCTAAAACCCAACAGCGGGGTTGAGGGTCATCCCAAAACCCAGCAGTGGGGCTCAGGGTCATCCTAGATCCCAACAATGGGGCTGAGGGTCATCCCAAAACCCAGCAGTGGCACTCAGGGTTACCCCAAAACCCAACAGTGGGCCTCAGGGTCATCCTAGATCCCAACAATGGGGCTCAGGGTTACCCTAAAGCCCAGCAGTGATGCTCAGGGTCATCCTAAAACCCAGCAGTGGGGCTCAGTGTCATCCCAAAACCCAACAATGGAGCTGAGGGTTATCCCAAAATCCAGCAATGGGGCTCAGGGTTACCCTAAGACCCAACAATGGGGTTCAGGGTCATCCCTAAAGCCTAGCAGTGGTGCTCAGGGTCATCCCAAAACCCAGCAGTGGGGCTCAGGGTTACCCTAAGACCCAACGGGGCGGCTCAGTTGTCACCCCACCAATGGGGCTTGGCGAGTTGTTGCTCTTGCATCCCTACACCGTCGGGGCAGCGCTGGGCCCATCCCCACCACCTCCCCTCCTTTAGGGTGAGCCACCACCACCGCGTGAACCTGATGACGAGCGAGAACCTCTCCATCTGCTTCTGGCCGACGCTGATGCGCCCCGATTTCAGCACGATGGACGCGCTGACGGCGACCCGCACCTACCAGACAATCATCGAACTCTTCATCCAGCAGTGCCCCTTCTTTTTCTACCACCGCCCCATCCTCGACCCCCCCAGCGCCGCCCCAGCCTCCCCGTCGGCCGCCGTTCCCCCCCCCGGCGTCGTCCCCTTCGCCCCCATCGCGACGCAGCCTTCGCCCCCCAGGACCCCTCCGCCGTCGCCGCAGTCGCCCGTCCAAGCGCTCATCCCGGCCCCGCTCCACGCGGAGCAGCACTCGCTGTGAGCCGGGGCGGGGGGCGAGGGGGTGGCGTTGGGTGGGAGAAACGAGGGGGGGGAAAAAAAAAAATGAGGAAAAAAGGAGAAAAACAAACAAAAAAGAAACAACCACACACATGTAGAGCTCGGCTTGGGCTTGGGCGTCGCTTGCCCTCCTCCCTCCCGGTATGGACTTCTGGAGCTGGGAGGGGTTCCCATTTTTGGGGTGGGGGGGTGAGGAGCTCAGCGCTGGGCTTTGGGCTCGGACTCGGTGCGCTGAGCAGAGCCCAGTGGGGTGGGGGGCAGCTGAGCCCCTGATGTCCCACGCGATGCCGTGAGGTGCGGAGCGACGCGGCCCCACTGCATCCAACGGGGTTTGGTGCAGCCCAGGGCTCTGCTGGGGGAGTCCCATGCAGTCTGGTGGTCAGCCAATGTGATCTGCTGTGTGTCCTGCTGTGGTGTGGGGCCTCCCGGGGCTCTTCTGTCGGGGTTGAATGTGACCCAGGATTTGTGCGGTGTCATCCGACGTGGTGCGGTGTTCATCCGGTGGGGTCCAGGACTCATCCAGCACGGTCCTTTCTGTGTTCTGCTGCGGTGTGGGGCAGCCCGGGGCTCTTCCACAACGGTCCGATGTGGTCCAACGCTTTTTTGACTTGACCCAGCACTTATCCGACGTGGTCTGGTGCTCATCCAGCTTGTCCGGTGCGATCCAGGACTCGTCCAACGTGATCCAATGTGGCCCAGTGCTCATCCAGCATGATCCAGCCCGTGGTCTGTCGCAGCCCAGGGCTCTTCCGACGGGGTCCTGTGTGATCCAGCGCTCGTCAAACGTCGTCCAACATGGTCCAGTGTTTGTCCAACTCATCCAGCGTGATCCGGTGTGCAGTCTGGTGCGGCCCAGGGCTCTCCCAGTGGGATCCAACGTGACCCAGCACTCAACCAGTGTGCTCTGAGGTAGTCCAGGACTCACCCAGTACGACCCAGTGTGAGTTTTGATGTGTTCTGGTGCAGCCCAGGGCTTTTCCAGTGTGGTCCGCCGTGGCCCAGGGCTCTTCTGTTGGGATCTGATGTGGTCCAACGTGATCCAGCGCAGTCCAGAGATCTTCTGTTGGGGTCTGATGTGGTCCAGTGTGATCCAACGTGATCCAGCACAGTCCAGAGATCTTCTATTGGGTTCTGATGTGGTTCAGTGTGGTCCAACGTGATCCAGCACAATCCAGAGATCTTCTATTGGGGTCTGATGTGGTCCAACGTGATCCAACGTGATCCAGCACAGTCCAGAGATGTTCTGTTGGGTTCTGATGTGGTCCAGTGTGATCCAACGTGATCCAGCACAGTCCAGAGATCTTCTGTTGGGTTCTGATGTGGTTCAGTGTGATCCAACATGACCCAGCACAGTCCAGAGATCTTCTATTGGGGTCTAATGTGCTCCAACGTGATCCAATGTGATCCAGCACAATCCAGAGATCTTCTGTTGGGGTCTGATGTGGTCCAGTGCTCACCCAGTGCAGTCCAACGTGTGGCCTGATGTGATCTGATGCAGCCCAGGGCTCGTCTGATGGGGTCCAATGCATCCCAGCGCTCATCTCATGTGATCTGTTGTGATCCAGCGTGGTCCAGTGCTCATCCAAAGTGGTCCAACGTGAGTTCTGATGTGATCTGACACAGCTGGAGTCTCTTTCCAACGTGGTCCAGGGCTCTTCTGATGGGGTTCAGTGTGGCCTAGAGCTCATCCTATGCGATCCAGCGTCGCCTGGTGCTCATCCAACGCGTCCCAACGTTCATCCAGTGCGACCCAGAGTTGTTCTCTTGGGATCTGGTGGGGTCCAGTGCTCATCCAGTGCAGTCCAATGTGAGGTCTGATGTGATGTGTTGCAGCCCAGGGTTCTGATGGGATCCAAAGCATCTCAGTGCCCATCTCCTGTGATCCAGCGTGGTCCAGCGCTCATCCAATGCAGCGCAGAGCTCTTCTGATGGATTCTGGTGGGATCCAGTGCTGATCCAATGTGGTCCAACGTGATCTGACGCAGCCCAGGGATCTCCAGATGGGATCCAGCGTGGCCCAGTGCTCATCTTATGTGATCCAAGGGGCTCCGGCACTCATCCAATGCACCCCAACGTTCATCCAATGAGCCCCAGAGCTCTTTGAATGGGATTTGATATGATCCAAAGTGAGCTCTGATGTGATCTGAAGTCATCTGAAAGGATCCAACACATCTCAGCACTCATCTCATGTGGTCCAGCATGATCCAACATGGTCCAGTGCTCACCTCATGTGGTCCAACGTGATCTGATGTGATGGAGGACCCATCCAACACGCCCCAACGTCCATCCAACACAACCCAGGGCTCTTCTGATGGGGTTTGATGTGGTCCAGGGTTCCGACGTGAGCTCTGATGTGATCTGATGTGATGGAGGACCCATCCAACGCGTCCCAACGTCCACCCAACGCAGCCCAGAGCTCTTCTGATGGGGTTTGATGTGATCCAGTGGTTCGAAGTGAGCTCTGGTGTGATCTGAAGTCATCTGAAGGGATCCAGCACGTGATCTGACACAGCCCAGGGATCTTCTGATGGGATCCAATGCGTCCCAGTGATCATCTCATGTGTTCCATCGTGATCTGATGTGATGGAGGATCCATCCAACGCAACCCAGAGCTCTTCTGATGGGGTTTGATGTGATCCAGTGGTTTGAAGTGAGCTCTGGTGTGATTTGAAGTCATCTGAAGGGATCCAACACGTCCCAGCACTCATCCAATGTGATCTGAGACAGCCCAGGGATCTTCTGATGGGACCCAACGCGTCCCAGCACTCATCTCATGTGTTCCATCGTGATCTGATGTGATGGAGGACCCATCCAACGCGTCCCAACGTCCATCCGACACAACCCAGAGCTCTTCTGATGGGGTTTGATGTGATCCAGTGGTCCGACGTGAGCTGTGATGTGATCTGAAGTCATCTGAAGGGATCCAGCACGTGATCTGACACAGCCCAGGGATCTTCTGATGGGATCCAACACGTCCCAGTGCTCCTCTCACGTGGTCCAACGTGATCTGATGTGATGGAGGACCCATCCAACGCAGCCCAGAGCTCTTCTGATGGGGTTTGATGTGATCCAGTGGTTCGAAGTGAGCTCTGATGTGATCTGAAGGGATCCAGCACGTGATCTGACACAGCCCAGGGATCTTCTGATGGGATCCAACGCGTCCCAGCACTCATCTCATGTGTTCCATCGTGATCTGATGTGATGGAGGACCCATCCAACGCGTCCCAACGTCCATCCGACACAGCCCAGAGCTCTTCTGATGGGGTTTGATGTGATCCAGTGGTCCGACATGAGCTCTGATGTGATCTGAAGGGATCCAGCACGTGATCTGACACAGCCCAGGGATCTTCTGATGGGATCCAACGCGTCCCAGTGCTGATCTCATGTGTTCCATCGTGATCTGATGTGATGGAGGACCCATCCAACGCATCCCAACGTCCATCCGACTCAACCCAGAGCCCTGCTGATGGGGTTTGATGTGATCCAGCCCCCCGCCACCCCATCACAGCACCCCACCACTCCAACCCTGCACCCCCCTGGACCCCCCGTTGCCCCCCGCCCCCAATTGGGGGGGTCGTTGCCCCCACCTTCACCCCCTCGGAGGAATCCCAGCGCTGAGCACTTACTTACAGAGCGGGGAGCAGCCCACCGTTCCCCATTTCCGCTGGATTTGGTGGTTTATTATTATTGTTATTAATTTTTTTTTTGTTTGTTTCCTTTTTAATTTTTTTTTTTTTCCTAAATTTTATTTTATTTTATTTTATTTTTTTTTAATTTTTATTCCAGAAACACTAATATTGGGGGAGATGGGGAAGAGGAGGAGGAGGAGGGGAGGCGGAAGGGAGGGAGGGGGGTTGAAAACGGATGGAGAAGGGGAACAAAAAGCAGCGACTGACTGACAAAACGGGATTCATTTTGGGGGGGAGGGGGGAATAACCCCAAGATTCGGGTGCTGCGGGCGCCCATTTTTGGGGGGGGGGGAGGTGGGGAGGGGGTGGCTTCAAACTGGATTCGATGGTACCACTGGGAGGGTCCTGCGGGGCCCCTTCGCACTTTACGTCGCCGTTTCCCCGAAGCTTTGGAGGAAAACAGCCAAAATTCCCCCCCCCAAAAAAAACCCCAAACAAGCAGGGGGTCGGATGGGATCCTCCCGACCTCCCCCCCCCCCCCAGAAACCCTCAGAAAACGGCATTTTTTGGGGGGGTTTTGTGTTTCGTCGTTTTTTTGTTCCGTTCCTCCACCGAGCGTCGGTGTGAACGCAGCCACTTTTTGGGTCCTTTTGGGGTTATTTTCCCCTTTTCTGTTCCGTTTTCTTTGGGTAAAACCGGGACCCCACGACGCCGGGTGAAATTTTGCTCTTCAAAAAGCGGCGTTTTGGTGCCTTTTTGCTCTTTTGTTTTCTATTGGGGGGGGGGGGCGTAGATTTCCCTTCTTTTCACCTCCCTTTTTTTGCAGCGCTGGAAACAACCGACGAAACAAAGCGAGCGAAAATGAGACAAAAACAAAAATCAAACCCCAAACCCCATCGAATTGACCCAAAAAAGAGCCAGGTCCACACGGCCCACGCTGCTGCTTCCCCCCCCCATTTTCCTTCCCACCCCCCCCCAAAAAAGAGAAAAAACGGGGCAGAACGCGGCGCTTCCCACGTC